GCTCACTCAGGGTATGATGTCAAAAGATGTCATCCCCTGAAACCAAGAAAAAGTTGCGTGGGAAACTGCGTTCTTCATGGAGTAGTTTTCAGTTCAGTTCAACTGTTTGGAAACACTGAAAACAAACATCCTCGCACAGCCTCCTCGACAGGGGCGGTCAGGAAGACGTCACACCCACGTTGGCACGGCACAAACAGCTTGCTGATCGTGGACAGTTCACGTGTCAGCGTGTACCCGTTGTGGACGAGGGCTGAGTAGCTGCGTCCTCTCTTGACTGGGAAGCCAAAGTCTGTGGGGTCCAACAGCGTATGGTGAAGGCAATGGTCTGACAAAAAGTTCGCCAGCACTCGTGGCTGGAACAGCTTGGTGCACTCGTGAAGGAAAAGCATCGGGGACAAGCACCGGGCCAAGCCAAGCATGATCCCGAACGGCAAGATGTAGTTCCCCATCAGCTGCTCACGGCCCTGGTTCATCGAGCTCCAGTCCTTGCAAACCGATCCAGCAACGAGGATCAGCTTCTTGCAGTTGAAGAGGCCCTGCACGTCCAACACCTTCTTGCCCACGCACATCACTCGGCGCCTGAAGGCTGACGGGCGCAAGATCATCATCATGGCCGCCAGCAAGTCTTCTCCTCCATCGTTGGCAGGATCTTGGGACTTATTGTTGCCCTTCTTCTTGGACACCTCGGTCTTGTCCTTCGCAGCTGCTTTGCGCTCTGCCTTCGCCTTGTCAACAAGGCCTTGCAACTCCGTGAGCACCTCCGGCCGCACAAAAGCGCACAGGTCCGGCACGACCACCTCTGGGGGATCACTGTGCTGAGTCAGAACTGACTGGCAAGAGGGGTCGATGTCGCAAGCGGCCGCAAAGACAGGCTTGCTGGGCAATGCTTCCGGTGGCTTCCCGTGGCTTGTCATTGCTTCGCAAACGGCCGACCAGCAGTTGAGTAGGCTAAGTTCTGCGCCGCCAAGGCCAGAGTACAAGCTGAGTAGTTTGCATCCATCGAGGTTCCGGGCCAGATTGTGCAAGGCATTGCTGTCAAAGTCCTCTGTGATGCGGTTCACATTCCTGCGCGCGAAGCCAAACAGGCCAGCCAGGTCTTTACAGTCCGTCATGACAGTGGCTGGTATCGTAGACGGTGCAGCGAAGGCATCACCATCGTGCTCTGTGGCAGACTCCAGCCTCAACTTGCGAGGGCTGAAAGCGGGACGTGCAACGTAGGCTACATCTGTCTTTGAAGTAGAGTCAGTGCTGACGCTGTCGCTGCTGCTGCTGTTGCTGCTACTTTTGTTGCTTGCTGATGCGGCCTGGGAAGCTTTGGTGTCTTCCGCACTAGCCGCTGCTGCAGGCCTTTTGCGTGGGCGAGCCTTGCTGGTTGGCGCAACATCCGCGGCATTGTGGCTGGACGGCCTTTTCATAGGTGTCCTTCCCCGCCTTGGCTTTGGGCCAGCCACATTGGAAGCGCGTGCAGCGCTTGCGTCCGCCTCACCCGGCTGGGAAAGGAGTGGCTCCCCCGAAACAGGCGCGAAGGACATCAGCGACAGCTGGCCTGCAGGCGGCGGCTGGTCAAAGGGGTTCGGAATGCTCTTCTCCTTCTTGGCTTTTCTGGCGGAAGCCTTCGGCCTCCGACGCTTCGGCGGCATGGCAGGGGGCGATTCGCACAAACTAAGTCTTCTGAACTTCTGATGGCACATTTGCACACACAATCATGGTGCTTGGACTTAGATTGCACAACCACGTAGCTCTGACATGCCTGCCATGAACGAGGTTGAGATCAAGGATGGCCGCAGCGTAAGCGTCGGCGTCAGCTGTCATCAAACAATTAACAATTGTCAAGGCTCGAGGACTCAAGTGATTCAAGGCCCAAGGGAATTCGTCAAATTTCCTCGAATGACCAAGCTGCCAGTGACAATCGTTGCTCAAGGAACAGCGGCAAAAGCACACATGCAAGTCACTCAAAGAACGGCTGACCTGCACAAGCGATCCAGCTCGGTCAACGTCAACACTCCAACGGTTGGGAATAATGACTTGAGGGCTCGAATTCACCCATTCTAATGGCAAAGGTCCAAGGCGCCTTTTCCATCCTTTCCATGCATGGTTTGTAGCACGTGCATTCACAGGGACCGCTGTAGTTTCCCCCCTCGCCGTCGCAGGGTGTCCAAAAACAAAGGCAATTGCTTTGATTGGCTTATTGAGCGTTCGTGGATTATGCGCTACAAGCAGCAGGAAGGGGAAACCTGAAATCAGGGTCCCTGGTGCCTGGTGCCTGGCGAACTCTAAACTGGCTCAACGCTTGAGGTGCCCTTTGGGCAGCCTGAACTTGTTTCAAGTTGCGAATGCCAGTAACGCTCAGTAAAGATGGGACAGCTGCTTTTCAGGTCCAAAATCAAACGCTGACTGACTGTCAGTCCTAGGGCGGTTCATTTGTCGCCCAAACCTTGTCCAGGGAAGCGTGTGTCGGCAAATCTTTCTCCTCTGGGAGCTCCTGCCAGGAGTGCAATACAACCTTAAATGATTCAGCTTGGGCAACACCCGCTTGGTTCAAGGATTGTGTTGCACGCCGGACATGGCAATTTCATAGATTTGCATTTCGCAGGTGTCTGCAGGGTTCCTTCATTGCGGGGGAAAAGAAACAAATAAGCTAGCGATCGAACACGAACGAAGCGGTCCGTCTTCTTGTGGCGCTCTCTGCACGTTTCCATCGCAATGTCCGAGTCATTCTCTGGTTTCCAGCGGGCACCTTAGTTGGGCACCACACATTATGCCGTCTATGTCGCGTATTGCGGGTTGTTTTAGCCCGGAGCCACTTGGCAACTAACTAACAAACACGTGCAAAGCATTTTGGCACAGACTTGCTAATGCGTGGCACGGCGCCAAGAAGCAACCACCATTTCAGCTTTCGGAGTACAACATCTTTGCTTGGCTGATTGATTTGGATGTCCTTCCTGCATTGTCGAAGTTTTCCGTCTCGAGAACTGCGCCCCTTGTGCGCTCGGCAGATCACAAAAAATGTAGGGACCTTAATTAGCGGGGCTGCGAAAAGCGACAGACTGATACCCAATAACAATTTCAATGACAATAATAACAATGCACTCAGCAACTTGCAAACGATCTGTGCAAACCAGGGTTTGGTGAGTGTTTCCCGATGGTCAGGAACAACATGAGCTGAGGTGCTTGAGTGTCTGTTCTGAGCACTATGGGCGTTCTCCCAAACCACACCGTGCCCTCGCTCAGGGCGCTCGCAGCCAGAGTCCGGACACGCTGAGGCATCGCCGCCGGTCGTGAAGACGAAGAAGCTTCCTCGCGGCCATCTGCATGCCCTCCAGCACGGGCGGCCAAGGTCTCGAAGTGGCTGACAAGGCGTTCTTCGTCCCACTGGCCGAACTCATCTTCAGATGAAGGAGGCGCCTCAGGTTCTGGCGCATCATCCTGAAGACTACGGAGCATTTGCTCGGCCGCGATGTCTTCTAAGCGCAGCCTCACACGCTGTGTTTGCAAAACGGCTCAAAGTGGCGCTCGCAAACAAAAAGCAAACGACAAATCATTCAATATCGCGCTCGTAACGCAAACAAACAAAACAATCATACTCACACACAAAATCTGCCAAGAGGCAACCAGCTTTGGTCTTGCTCGTCAGATTTTTCACTGGCTGCGGTACCAAGCCGCGGACTTCCCCGGCACAATCTTGCCCAGAACAGAAGCGGGGGCATTCACCAATGCTTTGTAGTAGGCTGCAAGCTGGAGGTGATGAATGCCTGAGCATCCTTCTTTGAAGAGGCGAGCTGCGCTTGCCAACGCCATCAAGTAGTCGTGCTGCGGCGTGCCCACGATCACCTTGGGGCTGCCTGGTAGTGTTCCGAATTAGGGGGACTGAGCTGGGCGGTAGAGGGGTCTGTGTGGAGAGGGTTAGAGGTCACAGCACTCACACTCTAAACATTGAAACACAGTCCTCGCCGTGCTGTGTACGGCTTTGTCTTGAGACGGGCCATCTCCTTTGGGTCGGTCACCTCCCTGAAACCATCGTACAGCGTCAGCTGGAGGTGTAGCTCGAAGGTCGTTTTATCTGCCAGTGGCGTGCCAGGGCGCTGTGCAAACACTGGCCGTGGAGCCCGGAGCTTGACGCTCACCTTCAGGGAGTAGAAATCTACCGTTTTTTGGCTCGACATCCTCAAACAGTTTTGGTTCAGAGGCCTTTAGGCTGGAAGCTGCTTTGGATGTCAGGAGCCAGCTGTCTTCACTAGAGATGTCCCGGGCTACCAGTCCGTTCTCCTCCAAGCTGCGCATGCAATCAGCTTCCTTCTGGCCCATGCTGTGAAAACGGAAGGAGCGACCAAGCCCTTGAAAGGACCGAGCAGCTACCATGTCAGCGACAATCTGCTTGCAATCCTCGGACAAGCCAGCATCGTCCATGTTCATGGGCGTGCTGGAGCTGGACGTCCAGCGCTGGAAGTCTTGCATCACTGCCCGCTCGGACACGCCGCTACGGGAAAACCCCCCAAGGAACTCAAGAAGGAAAACGTCTCTGGCCTGACCTCAAGAAATCTCCACGAAGGTGCCCTCCTCGTCTCTGCCAGCGCTTGCCACATAGAGTTGGATCGCCACATGGCCCGAGTTCAGGTCATCCACCGCTGCCAGTGGCCTGCAGTCAGTCCAATCTTTGCCAAAAACAGACCTAGCGCGTAGTGGAAGCAAATGGCGGCAAACAGCCTGGCCATGGCCGATCGAACAACCGACACTTTGCAAACACTACAGGGTCCACCCCCATTAACCAGAAACCGTCGGCCACATTTAGATAAAACAAAGGTGAACAATCGTTGCTATATGAACCCCAACTGTTTTGGTGGTGGTTGGAATCCCCGGATTCAGTTCATACTACACGAGCCAAACACGTTTTGCCAAGCAGCCGTTTCAAGCCTGAAGGGCGCTTGTGAGCAATTTTGAACACCATGTGGCTGCAGTCGTGCGCAGCCGGCTCGTCACATGCGTGCGCCCCCGCTTCTCTTTCAGCCCCCATCCTCATCCGGGTCTTCAAGCTTCAGCTGCTTTGCCGGCCTGTCAGGCGCGTTGGCCAGCGCAGGAGCCGGAGCGCCGCCAGCGGCTGTGCCAGCGCCACGCCCCAAGGCTGCTTCCCTCGGAATGTGCGACAAACATCTGAAAGCAGAAGGGGAAATACATCTGCCAGTGCGAAGCGCACAGGAGCAGTAAACAGACAAAAAAGATCAAACACACGCACACACACAAACATGAACCCTCATACTGTGACACAGCATCGTTGCCACAATGCGGGCAAGCCACAGGCAATGCCGAGGAAAAATATCAAACAATGCCTTTGGCAGAGAGTAGTACTCGTGGCAGTCCGCAGTGTTGCGAAGATGCTCCAGCATCATCCTCCAAGGCTCATGAACTCATCAAGTGTGGTTTGCAAGACACGCGCAACAGTAGTAAGCCGTCACACTGGCGTCGCGAGTGTGTGAACACATGCTGCTATGGGCTTTACCCAAGGGTTTCAAGACTTTACCCACTTTACCCAAGGGTTGCGTTGTGCCCCTGGTGCCTTTCAAGAGGTGAAGCTCGTTTGCGCTCTTCCTCTGCAAGGTGCCGTTTGCTCTTCCGCAAGATGGCTGTGTCGCTCTGGGGGATGACCGCGGAGGCTTGCGCGCCCCTTTTAAACTGCAGCGCCCGCTGGTACACAATATCCATGAGCTGCCTTTGGGTAATAGCTGCTGGTGAAACCGCCAGTGCCTCAGATGTCGGTTTCTGCACCGACCCGCGCCCCACGACCCATTGCGCACTGTCACAGCAAACAACCATGGCATTTGGAAAATGGCGCTAAGACACATGTAACTCCACCCCCCCCAAGTCCCTGGGAAAGAAACGCTTAAAGATTTGAAAACAAAGAGCGCTTACTTTGCGGGGCAGGCTTCACACTGCGCTCCGCCAACCATTTTGGCAACAGCTTCGCAAAGACCCGCGTGAGTTCCCAGGGCCGCATTACTTTCCGCTGCGTGCTTCAAAGACTGAAAAAAAGCCAGGGTGTAAACATGAAACGAAACAAGTTGGGCAAGTTCAAGCATGCACGAGCGAACACACGCACACAAAGAACCGCATACGTAACTGTTCATCAAACATGTTGGGATAACGAGCGGCTGCCGTCGCAAGAAACAACAACTACCTGCGGTCCCGCGTGAGCTCACAGACACAAAGCCGCTTAGTGGTTTAACAGGAAGCAAACATGTGACAGTTGAGGTTTTGGCGGCCTCGGCGTCCTTCCCTATCATCTTTTTTTTTTTTATTTTTTTTTATTTTTTTTTTTTATTTTTTATTTTTTTTTATTTTTTTTTTTTTTTTATTTTGTTTTTTTTTTTTCTTTTGTTATCAACGGCATTCTCCCCTCCACGGAGATGTAGGCTTCAGACGCCCTTGGGGAATCTGCCAAGACTTGCTTGACGCCTTTGTGCTGTGCCTCAGCGTCAACCAGTGGTCAACCAGCCAGCCAGCCAAACAACCGCGACCCCAAAAAGGTTGGTCTAGAGTTTTGTTGGGCCTTTTCTACGCCAAGGGTTACATGCTTGCACCGCCTGGGTTTGGCGCCAACTGCCGTCAACTGCGGGCTTGTCACCAAAGGGGCCAGCCACACAACATTAGCAGGCCAGGAGACTTCGGTGGCCCGCTCCACAAGCCGTACGAGGCGCAAAGCGCCCAGCCACTCACGTAGACGCTGAAGATCAGGCGATCTGATGCTCGCTCCTTCAACGAAGAGATCCAACTGTGGCCTGTGCGCCAACAAACATGCTCACATTGTCACATGACCCACATCACATCCGCGGCATCCGCCGAAAAATGAGATTCTACTTTGCACTGTCCACCAAAAATGCACGTAAAGCTGGCGAAGCCGAGGGGAGGGGGGGAGTTTCAATCATATATTCCCCCTTTCTGTCTTCTTCAGTTCCCCCTCTACTCCTCTTATCTTTGATCAGTCATGTCTTCTCCTTATCTGTCTCTTGTCTCAGTACCTTGTTGATATGTGTCTTCTCTCTGTTTAATCTACCAATTTTTGTTTCCCGTGCACCTTGTTATATGTTATCTTGTCCATTTTCTCTTTTCTTTTCTATGTGTATTTATCTTTCTCTTCCTCTTCCTCCTTATATTTTCTTTCTCTTTATCTAAACATCCTCTGGACATGCCACAACGCACCGTAACCACCTACAAAGGAAACGTCCGCAACTCTCTTTGGGCACGCCCGGCCTCAAAGGCACGGCGTCAAGGTCGCCATTCGCAGGCGTGAAGGAGTACCGTAGAAAGCGCTGGGACAGCGGGTGCTTGCGCCCTGCAAGCGTGAGCGCATCCATCTTTGACTCGTCGTCGTGGAGGCGAATGGCCTTGCGAGCAATGGCACGGGCGTGTTCCTCTTCTGGTAGCGAGACCCCGCACAGCAGCCAGGGAAGTTGGCGCCAGTGGGCGCATTTGGTCCTTACCTCTGTTGCAATCACGTCAAAGGCGCAGTTCCAATCCGAGCGCAAGTTGTTCCACTCATCTCCTTCGGGAGCAAGGCCAGCAACTGCCACTGCGAAAAAGCTTGAAGCCACTGCTAGCGTGGTGTCCAGAAAGTCGTCGTACACTCCTGCTGCGCATTCCGCGGACCGTCGCCCTTTGAGCTGGCAGTTTCCTCGTCGGCTGAAGCCATGACAGGAACACCCTTCAGCCCATGTGCCCAAGTCATTGATCATGCCGTGGACAAGCAAGATCATCCTCAAGTAGCACCAGAAGTACGGAGACCTGATGGCCTCATCTGCGAGGTTGAAGTTGGCAGTGGCGGTTGCCCTCGCGAAGGGAGCTGGTCCCTCCTCGTCATCCTCAGCGGGCAGGTTGTGGCCGACGCGCAGGAAACTGCTCAGGCTCCATCTTGCCTTCAAGGCTCCCTCCCTCTTCTGGATGGCCTCGCAGACTTCAACAAGGCTCCCCCACCTCCAAAGGATGAGGTTACCGCCTTCATAGTGCGTGAAGAGGCGCTTCCAAACCGGGTCCCTGTCAAAGAGCACCTTGACGCGGTCCCTGTAGTACTTCTGGTAGAGGAGCATGTTCAAGGACTGCAGCTTTTCCTGCCAGTCCCGGAAGCCCCGCATCCGGCCAAGAACGTCTCCGCTGACATTGTCAAAGACGTGCTTTAGGCCAGGGAGCATTAGCGACCCTGCCAAGGTCCAGAAGTGTCGCTCCGGCTCAGGCTCACATCGCCCAGGCCCAGGTCCAGGCAGGCCTGGCGCACCATCATCATCATCATCATCATCCGGCAGGCAAAGGCGAACGCTGCCGGCTGAAGGCCGCGCTGGCGTCGGCGGAGTTGCAAGCACATTTCCAGAATGGAGGCGCGCTGTTGCTAGCAAGTCCTCCACACAAAGAGGTGGCACCTCCGTGAACAAGCTCTCCGTGCCATAGTCTGAGGTGAAGCTAACGCATGACCCCATAGAGTAGCGCTGCAGATCGCTCGGCTTGTTCCCGATGTCGAGCTTGACAGAGTGGAACAGAGCTTCATACTTCCCAGAAAGCCCCGAGTTGCCAGATCCAGAGATGGCCAAGGGCAACTGCGAAGTGAAGACTCGATCCTCAGCATGCCATTCATCGAGGCGCCCTTCATCATCCGCGGCTGCCACAAGGTCTGCCGCTGCAGCGCGGGTAACCCGGTCTTCAATCGACATGATGTAGTCCAAGCCCCCCTGCGGCGAACTATCTGTGGATATCATCACAAACACAGGCGGATCTTCCTGCCACTGCCTTTGCCGCATAGCCATGAGGATGGCGTCCTGGGCGCGCTCAGGTTGCTTTTTTCCGATTTGGCAGCACGGTCCCTCGTTTGGAGATAGCACATGTGCTATAAGTGTCTCACTGATGCCCGGTCAATTCTGTGTGTGTGCGTGAGTGTGCCGAGTCCCTGTCTACCCAGGGACGACAACTTGTTTCTTCAGCAGCGGGCGGTCTCTGATAACTCGTGATATCCAGCCTGATCAGCAACTTCGCGTGACGCAATGTCCTTTTGGCCTCCCCCGCTTGAACGGCTGCGACTTTTCCAACGCTGGGGGCTCTTGGAGCCTGCGTGGGACGAGAGCCAACGAAGACGCCCGAGCAGCGCTCGTGATGCGGATTGGGACGCCACATCCTCTAGTGAGTCTGCCTAGGCGCGAGGCGTGGCATTCACCATATCAGGAGTGGCAAAATCCCATCGTGAATTATGATGTCGGACGCCACCACAGAAAACGACTTGACGTTCAGTACCTCTGCCAGCTGCTGGCGTTCCTGATGAGGCGGGCTAGCACTTAGCTCTGTGCACTTGGCTCCTTGCACCTCGCTCTTTGCACTTCGGCTCTGAGCACTTGGCTCTGTGCGCTTGGCTCTTTGCACTTGGCTCTGCGCAAGTACTCTATGCTGGTGACTCCATGCTGGTGACTCTGTGCAAGTATCTCCATGCTGGCATCTCCATGCTGGTGACTCTGCGCAAGTATCTCCATGCTGGTAGCTCTGTGCAAGCTACTCTGTGCTAGTAACTCTGCGCGAGTATCTCCATGCTGGTATCTCCATGCTGGTGACTCTGTGCAAGCTACTCTGTGCAAGTTGACCAAGAGCTCCGCACGGAGAGCGTTGTACTGCCTCAAAATCAAGTTTGTGGGCGCATGCGTGCGTGCGTGCGTGCGTGCGTGCGTACGCGTGCGTGCGTGCGTAGGCGTGCGTGCGTGCGTGGGTGCCTGGGTGCGTGGTTGCGTGCGTGCGTGCGTGCGTCCGTGCTTGCGTGTGTGTGTGTGGGTGGGTGCGTGCGTGTGTGCGTGGGTGCGTGCGTGCGTACGTGCGTGCGTGCGTGCATGCGTGCCGTGCGTGCGTGCGTGCGTGCGTGTATGGGTGTGTGTGTGTCTGTGTGTGTTTGTTTCTGCTAAGAATATTTGGTACCGATTATTTGCATGTTCATCCTCATCCTCATGTACACTCCCGGCTTGTCATTGTACTTTAAAATGTCTTGCTGCTTGCAGGTTCCCCAAAGCATTGCTAAGGCTTTGATAAAAATCCTTTTCGTTGCCGGAATTGTGTGTCTGTCATTTATAACTGCCCTATCTTGTTCATCTCTCATTCTCTTCATGTTTGAAACCGTTCGTCTGTGTCTGTCTCATCTATGACAACCACACACGCACCACACACACACAAGCACGCAAACACACAGGCGCAGAGACAAAATGCAGAAATACAAACATGAGGGGTCAGGGGGCCCGGCCCGGGGTCCGGCATGGGTCCGGGAGGGTGCTAAGGTGTGAGGTGTGAGAGGGGGTCCGGGGGGTAGGGACATAAAACTCGCTCTGGCACACTTTGACAAATGTGCGGCAATGCTAGCGCTCATTGCCTGCCTAGGGGCAAGCTTCAAGCGCATCCTGCTCAGAGTTGACGCTGATGGCACCATGATCTCCCGGTTCGCCAAATCTCGCTCCACCTGCGCTGCCACCTCCGGCCCGTAGATGAAGCTGGCGGCTCTGCGCAAAACTTCTGGCAGGCGCTCAGCATTGTGAAGCAAGCGGGCCAGCAGCCTCATTTCGGACTTCCCAGTTGATTCGTTTGGGCCGCTGAATAGTTGAGTCATTCCGTCGCCGTTAAAGCGACTTGGGCAAGCATGACCCAAGGCCAGGCGTGACCCAAGACCAGGCCATTCATTGGACAATAGCTCTTGAACAATGGCCGCCATTGTGGACCATTTCCATCATCAACATTGCGAAACATATTCAGCCACAGTCCTAACTCATGTCCGCTGGGCCCCCCAGTCTGGCCAAGCCGCAAGGTAGCAACGCCTCACGCCTCACGCCTCCAGAAGCCAGAAGTAGTTTTAAAAAGCAACATACCAAATCCCAAAACATTGCTTGGGGTCAACATGTATCCAAATGGCGAGGTTACCCAAGAGTAGCGGGGGAAGAGCGTAGGTGTGTCCAAAGCCTTCTGATGCTTCCTGCTAGGAAACTGATAGAGCAGCTGGGTTCCATCCAAATCCCCCAGTCTGGCCAAGCCGCAACGCCTCCAGAAGTGCGTAGAGCTGGTAGCCCCATCCGCCACGGTCGCGCGCCGCCGTCCGCGGCCGTCTTTGCAAGGCAGTGAGCGCCTCCATGCGTCTGCTTGTGAAAGCTGTGCTCCGTGCAAGGATTTAGCTTGGTGTGTTGGTGGTGTTGCTGGTGTTGGTGGTGTTGGTGGTGTTGGTGGTGTTGGTGGTGATGGTGGCGTTGGTGGTGTTGGTGGTGTTGGTGGTGTTGGTGGTGATGGTGGTGTTGGTGGTGTTGCTGGTGTTGCTGGTGTTGGTGGTGTTGGTGGTGTTGGTGGTGATGGTGGTGTTGGTGGTGTTGGTGGTGTTGGTGGTGTTGGTGGTGTTGGTGGTGTTGGTGCTGCTGCTGGCATCATGTGTCATGTGGCATCTTCTTTCTGTTGCAGTTTGCCTCGGAGGAATCAGTGAGTCTCATGGTCGCAGTTGCATGGTCCTTGATCCGGAAAAGGCGCTTCAGGAAGTGTTCAAACCAGTCCGCGAGTCGTGTGAAACACTTCTTGATTTGGAATAGGCTCCCCCCCTGAGCTCGTGCAATTTGGCAAAAATATCAGAAGAGTGTCAAACAAAATAAAAACAAACAACCAAAGCACGAAAAAATCAAGAGAGCATACCAAGTCTAAACAACGCACTTTGAAAGAGATAAGCAAATTAGGAAAACATAATAATTCAATCTTTACAAACGATAAATATATTACAATTATAACATTTAAGATTTTACATGTGATAATCATAGTATGAGTTCAACTTTATTCTAATTAATTTTAAAATTCTCTTTCAATTCGTTTCACTATTTTATCAACTGTTTTTTCATTATACATATTATTTCCTATTTCTTTTATAAACACCTTCATTACACTAATTGCATGTCTTGCTGTGTATCTAAGTTCGTGAGCTTCATACTTACAATTTAAAAACTCATTTACAAAATCAAAGTCATTATCATTCAATGCTTCGTATTTTAAACGTTTAATGCTAAAAGACATATTGTATAATCTTTTTACCAGGCTATAATACTTATAAATAAAACCATTCACATATCCATTATCCAATACATTATCATATTCTTTTTCAGTATAGAACCTATTCATTTCAATAAAAACAAATATTTCTAAATCATCATCAAGAGTTTCAGCATTTCTAGTATCGATCTTTGCTATTAATGCAATCAATTTTGTTTATAATTCTATTGCAATTATTGCATATCATACATTGACAAATATTATTACTAACACCATCTATAAAACCCTGTTGAATTGTTAACTTTAACATCTCACAGTCTTTACATTTGTAATTAATAAACTTTTGTTTCAAGATATTTTTAACATCAATATCTTCATGGACAGTATCATTAAATTCGCTATACACATTTTCTATATAACTATATTCTCCATATTCACTTTCTGCATCACTCATTACTATCTTAATATATTAAGTCAATATTTCTTTAAGTCGTTTTCAAAGAATTTATTTTATAATGGCCGTAAGCAAGTGAGTTTATACTATCTATCCAATATTTTTTGTTTTCATAACTACTAAGAGCAATTTTTTTAGTTGTTATACTAAAAATTCTGTGGTTTTTACTTCTAATACTATTAAATGACTTATGTATAACCTCATTAGTTTTTAAAACCGTCTCAAACTCTTCATATTTCATTTGACGTCTTACTGTGCCTTTTGCTATGCCCTTACATTTCTTATATTTTTTATCATCACCATAAACTGAGTAAGCATAGCATTTAGGACGAAGGGCTATAAACCCTGTTATTATTTTACTTTTTAATTCATCCTTAAATTTACCTAATACTTTCTTGTTATTCTCATCATAACATTTATGTTCCTTAGGATAATCTGAAAAATCTATTTCTTTTTTAATTGTATTCAGGTCTTCATAAATGTCATTGGTTTTAGTATGAAATACAAAACTATCAGTATCAGTATATACCATTTTAATATTATCTCCATATTTAGGCTTCATAACGTCATAATAAAATTTATACATGTGTTGCTTACTCAAATCTAAAATACTCATCCCAATAAATATAGGTTTGTCTAGTTTCAACTTTGTTTTTTGCTTTTCAACTCCAACCAAATTCTCATTAATGATATGACTATGTTTGAAGTTAGGATTACTTACACACTTCATATATCTAGTTTCATCACTCACAACTTCAAAGTCTAAATGTTTTCGCTTATCCTCCATTGTTTTTCCAAATATGGCATTGTTCATCAATTTATAAACATCTTTCTCAAAATCATTTCTAGCATTCTTCCTCTTCTCAGTGTTAAACTCAATGTAAGGTTTTAAAACTTCTTTTTGTTCAAATTTAATTGCTCTATGAATTTTCTTAAGTTTTAACCCTTGCTTCAAATAAAATTGTAAGGTTCTTATATGGATTACATATTTTTCTTTATCATTTAAATTCAATACTAATTTATTTGTTTTCTCATCCGTAGGTTTTTTATGATTTAAAAATTCATAAATTTCAATTTGTTTATCTGACAGCATGTTGGCTTTAACATTCATAACCTCAGGTGCCATTGGATAGTCATTGTGTAAATCGTGTAATTCTTTAGGATATTCTAAATCCACTTCTAGAATATATCCAATATTATTATTCTTATAATTAATAATGTCTTCTTCTTTTAATGTATCATCCATTTTAGATTTTTATATGGCAGTTTTTGTATCATGCTTAACCCGTACAAATTATTAGCATCAAAATAGTTAATATAACTACT